CTGCGAGTAGATAAATCTAAAAAGCACGTAGATCAATCAACATTTTGAATAAGTTAAATTCGTTTTTCATGATCACATCTTTATCAAGGACAGACCTTCTTTGACAACTGCAAATCTAGCTTGACTACCAGCGCAATTTTCAGTACGTAAACTATTTATCAATTACGGTTTAATTTTAATTGATTACTAAAAGTTCTGTTTTACTAGCCTTGCATCCTTGCCTCCACCTTTGACCTTCTTTCCATTACAGCAACTCCATCGTGGCTTGTAAATCGGTTCATTGCAACAACATCCATACAGCGTGCTGTCCCACGCCCTATTCCCGCAGCATATATGATTGTTTCCACCGGGGACCACAATTCCATTACAGCACTTGTGTGTCTTGGAGTTGTAAAGTTCATATCCACAACACGAGCGTTTGCCATCTGTTATTCGTAGAACCTATATGTATCATCGAGTGACACTTTGTATTTCAATCGGTATTTCATATCTTAAGCTTTAAATGAAGAAATAGTGTTTTAAAGCATTCATTTGAGATACTTTCGCAAGATCTCTTGATATAAATCTCCCTTATCATATTTGGTTTGAAAACCATTTTAGCAAGAGTATATGCAACGAAAATTGGTTTACCTGGTTGTAACAACATGTGTTTTCACGGTAGTTATACGGCTCTGTTCCACAGCAGGTTGTTGTCGTTGGGCTCACTCTCTTTCTCACTTGTCCATTGCAGCATATGTAATATCTTCTATCGTAACGTGCAGTGTTACAGCATCTGTTGTACGGCCCAAACTTATTAAATACATTGCAATTACAGCAGGAATGTTGAGATGGATCTATAAGTCTACATGTTGAATAGTTGTGATGGTAATAGTATGGCCTGGGGAAGTAATAGTAATATGGGAAATACGGGCAGTAGCGATTGAAGTAATAGTATTTATAGTTGCAGCAACAACTTGTGTAGCTGGGCTTGGGCAAGATGTAAACACGACGGCCGCAGCATCGACTTTTGGCGAAGTTGTAAACTTTTGCAATGTATTTCCCATTCATGTAGCAGCTACAACATTTCGTGCCGAAAAGTTTAGGATACACTCTGTTCCCACAACATAAATAGTTTCTACTGTCGTATGGACGACTGTCGACTCCATGAGGAGGATTCCAGCAACACGAATTGTATCTGCTCTTGGGATACGCCTTTCCCCCAAAGCATATTTCTGTTGTAGGCTTGTATATACCTTCCCCACAACACTTCTCCCCAGACACCAACTTTGTCGCACAATCTCCGCAACATTTTTCAGTTTGAGGATTGTAAACGTTATTCCCGCAGCACGATATCGGGGTGTCTCCTGTACGCCGAATGAGTATATCATTACAACATAAGGCGTCTGTCTTACTGTACGCTTCACTACCGCAGCATTGCAACCTACATCCATATTGATCGCTGTACAGTTTTCCACCACAGCACAATTGATTGTCCTTGTTGTATGCGTTGCCGTTACAGCAACCAACATAACCTGGTCGGCCAATCTTTTCGATCAAATATAACTTATCTTTGCAGCAAAATGATATCTGAGAGTTGTACGGTGTTCCGCAGCAACATGCGTCAGCAAACGACACCCCACTGTGCCAATAATAACGATAAAAGAAGGTTTTCCAGTAGAGTTTACCGGAACAACAAAAGTAGCGTATAGGGTCGAAGAGTTGACCAGCGCACCGGACTGGTGCTGGAGGGTAGTACCAATACGTGAATGAATTTGATCGACCAACCATCAGAGCATCTTCGTTCTTGTTTTCGCATGGTGTATCAGATTTTTCAATTCTGTCCGCTGTGAGTCCACCACCTATTTCTATCGAAGGAATCATGAAGTTAAGATACCATCTAACATAAGTGTTAAAACAACGACGAATTTATTTTTTGACAAAACATCACATAATATTTTTTTAAAAGACAACGATGAAAAAGTGAAAACGTACAGTAGTATATCGTTAACCTTAATCAAAAGGTGAGTTTTGCCATAAAAATTTTAAAGATG